CATGAACATTCAGTTGCTTACAAATTTGAAAATGACAATTTCTTATTATTGAATCAAAATGTTTAGTTATGGTAGTGTTTACTTTTATGTGTTTATGAGTTGAACAGTACCCAAATGTGTAGTATTCGATAAGATCAAACTCACAAACTCAAATATCTTTGCGCAAAGGTTTTTTTTTTTAATTCAGAAAGCCCCCCCCCCCCATCACCCCAGAGGCGTATCCAGGTTTTCGTTGTAGGGGAGCGAAAAGAGCAAAAAAAAAAAAAAAAATATATATATATATATATATATATATATATATATATATATATATATATATATATATATATATATATATAAATGTATATGTATATCTATATATATATATAATTACTAGCTTTATGTCATTACTTCGCTATGATGTAAAATAAATTGAAAGTAGCACTCTGAAGAAATAAGAAAAAACATACAATGTAGGCCGACAAAACAAAAATTGTATCAATCTAAACAAAAAAAAATATACACGCACAACAACCAAAAACAATGAACGTAACACAATCTGTTTTGTAATTCTTGTAAAAAAAAAATTCATACATAATAATTCCTAGGAAATTATTTAAGACTAGTGAAATAGGGGAAATAATCACTCTCTTACTATAAATATGTATATATCTACACATTTAATTATAAACGTCAAAACAAATAAATAATTACTTTAGAATATAATGAAATTCTTTAACACTATTCGTGTTTACAAAATGTTTTTGTCTATAATCAGAATTTAATATATCGTCATTATAAATGCTAAAGCATTACAGCATAATGAAAGTTTTTAAAATCAGAGTTGGTATAAAACCACGCTTTTCGATTAAATAGAACAACATTCGGAATAACAGCCTACATTTAACTAAATATCGGTGTTTTTGTACAGATCAAATATTTGTAATTAACTACTGCTTCTATGAGTTCTTTAAAGGTAATCTTTTAACATAGTGATAGGTATGGGTTAGATCACTGTATTGATCACACACCTTTTTACTGGTAATTGCAAAAACAATATTCACAGAGTTTTACGTTTAAAAAGCTAATTTTCTGGCGGCATGGTACTTTGGTACATCATTACGCGTTTTTCTACATGTACTTAACAGATCAGTTCGGGGTGGGTTGGGGGGGGGGTGGTCGGTTCAACTTCATTCACCACAGTCCGGTCACTTTAGGTCAATTATCCAACCCAGTGTATACCTTCCTAGGTGTGACATTAATATCGCTCTACACAATTGTGGTGGTGTTTGTGTGTGTAGGGGGGGGGGGGGGATAACCAACTCAGAGTGAACATAGCGTCAGTTTTTAGATGACTGTTCTAAACATACATATATATTACACAAATATATATTACACAGATATATATTACAGAAATAGATTTAAATAAGTAGCAGTGGTATTATGACAATATTTTTTTACAGAGGGCTCCATGGGGGAGGGGGTTGTAACTGTTTCATATAATTTGTAATCGTAATCACTATCGCCCAAACTGTAAGAATACTACTACTTCATCGTGATGACGTTGTTGACCTTGTCAAAATTTCCCCACCACTACGCAGTTTGCTCATAAGTAAATTTAAATAGGTGCCACATCAGTTGTATTTGTTTCTGTATTGTATTTTTTTTTTAAATTAATCACACGATTCAAACTGTATATATAAAGTAATTATGTGTGCAGTTTTATATATAACATTTTCTAATTCAATAATTCGTACGCAAAAACATTATACAGTTGCCTTAAACTTAACACCCCTCTTGCCAAGTGGTACTACCCGTAGAGGTTTTTTAAACATTGCAACGCATCGTAATGGTTATTTTTAGAATGGCAAAATGATTCAGCTGTTAGTACGTGTTGTAAACGTAGACACTACTAGACTAGTACAATAATGCTTAATTGCTGCATGAAAAGAAATCTTGTGATTTACATAGATGTGCCGACTAAAAATATTTTTTAAACAAATTTCATTGTTTAAAACTTTGAATTAAAAAAGTTTCCAAAAAGGCGCCACTTTGCTGAAAATGGCCAGAGGGGGAGCGGCCGCTCCCCCTGCTCCCCCCCTGCGTACGCTACTGCACCACCCCCACCCCCATCCCCACCCCCACCCTCATAAAAAAGTTTTTTTAATTGTGTGAGTGGGTATCAAGCAAATGCAAATAGGCCTTTGTTTACAAGGGTATGTTTTTGTAACAGACTGAATTATTATGTATAATAACTATATTTTAATTGACATGAAGTTGCGTGAATTTTGAGTACCTGACCAACGGAAGTAAGTGTGAGCGACTCGTCATGTATTTACATGCTTTTTGTGAGATCGTTCACTGACGTATGGGGAGAGAAAGTTGTGTATCAAAGGTGGAGCGCAAGGTGAACGAGGGTGCTTGCCTGTGAATGTGTAGTAGGATGTCACCACGTTACTTTGCTTCTTGATTGTACTATAACAGTTGTTTTTCTTCTGATATGGATTATTAACATTTCTTT